TTTCACCCTTTTTTTTCCAAATCATTTCAATTAAACCCCAAAAATAATTTACCCATTTTATCATTATTATTATTTTATTTCCATTAAATTAAATTAAACTAAACTAAAACAATTATATTATTACTTAAATAAATAAATAAAGAAAATTAAAATAAAATAAAATTATAATAATTCCAATAATAGTAATAAAAATAAAAATTAGGGTGTTACGATATGTATATATATTACTTTTTTATTATAAAACAAATTAGTTGATATTAAACTTGTCAAGTTATTACAACTTAACAAGTTCAGTTTCTTTTGACTAGAAAAAAATATATATATTAGAGTGCTAGATCCATTGATTTTGCAGTATGAGAAAGGCAACTTACCTGCCCTAATTGGAGATTCCGAAGCAGTTTTAGATGTTGTAAGATCATATTCAATTTTCATTCTTAATTGATTAATTACTATCAGTAAGAATTTTATAAAATGTCAAATTCTATTATTTATATTAATTTTATATAAAAAAAATTATAGATTCCTGTCGACATGGTTGTGAATGCGACATTGGCAGCCATAGCAAAGCATGGAATTTTGGGAAAACCCGAGGTAAAAGTGTATCACGTGGGATCATCAGACATGAATCCGCTTGTGTGGAGGAATATATTCAAGTTTTGTTATGAACACTTTGTTGCTTGTCCATTGACGAAAACCGAGATAAAAGAATTTGAATTTTTGAAGTCTGTGCACGAATACTCGACCTATATATACAAAGTCATGAGACTAAAGGAATTAGAAACAAGTCAAGATTTGAAGCTGCATCAGAAACTTCAGAAGCAAGCCGACAGAAAAGAAGAATACTTTGTTCAATTGGCAAAAATGTACAAGCCCTACATGTTCAATAATGGATTGTAAGTTTTCTTTTTTTCTCAATTAAAACCCAAAACGCACATACACACAGACAAAGACACATATAATTGCACATTCTAGAACTGAAATCTTTTCGAAGATCTTGTAAATTGTATCCGTACAACTTAATATTTAAATATATATCGTACTGATTATTGTTGGTAAAAAAACCAAATTATTTTGTGGTAGGTTTGATAGCAGTAATAAGCGAAAGATGATGGAAGAGATGTCGTTGGAAGAGAAGAGGAATTTTGGGTTTGACGTTGGCAGCATAAATTGGAAGGATTACATCTCAAATGTTCACATTCCAGGCCTCAAGATTCATGTCATGAAATGAAGATTTTGATGTTATGTAATCCTACAACACAAGCAAGTTCAGGAGCAACAATATATGTGTGTATATATATATACATATTTTCATAAATTGTCTAGAAGCAGAGAAAGTTATAAAAAATAAAATAATTTCTCTTGCAATTTTGATTCATATGCTTGTGGACGGATTGAATCAAATGTTAGAACTTTTGGAAGTAAATTGTGTAATCTAATTGATTTACGAAAGACTAAACTAGAAATAGATGAAATTAGAGGATTAAAAGAGAATGACGAAATCTAAAATGTTTCGAAACCTCTTCTCAGAAAATTCGTAACCACTTATATATCAAGTGTTGTTGTAACTTACTGAAAACGCATTATATGCTAAGGGGAAAAAATATATTTTTCGATCTTTGAAGATTCTTCCCTTACAATTATTCCGTTTATAATAAACAAATAAAATCAAATTGATTTATTAAACTATGCTTAAGTTGGACTTTTCATGGAACCCTAATTTTTTTTTTAGGAAACCTAACACCTTTTTGTGCTTATAGAATGCATATTCTGCACTTTTCTTAGTAAAAAAGAAAAAAAGAAAGAGAAAGAAAGAATGTCCAAGTTTTTTAACTTTTTTGTATAATT